AACCTGCGGAGGGTCGTTTGGGAACCTTGTGGCATTCGGTGCACCAGGCCTCTGTATTCGTCCCTTCAAAAAGTGTGGATATATATATATATATATATATATATATATATATATATATATATAAGTTTCATTAAAATCCACGAAAATTCCGTTTCGATTATTTATTTAATATACTTCGTATCGACACTTCTAAAAATTTTCCGATTTCCTCTTGCTATTGGGATATGAAATTTTCAATATCTAGATACGTTCACATATGGGAAATTTCTCATGCCTGAGTATTTTCAGATATGTGGAATATCATATTCCAATAAAAACCGAAAATCAAGAAAATTATTAAAAGAAATGAATAAAAAACGTTACTTTCGCTTGTTTTGGATGAAACTTGCATAAACGAAAGAATTGCTGCCCAAATAGGCTTCTTTTAAGATACGTGGATGACACTGTGCTGATAGCAGACACGGAAAAGAAATTCGACCCCCCCCTACAGAAAGTAGCGAAGGAAAAGCGATAAGAAGGGTCTAAGCGTAAACTACAAGAAGACAGAATGCATGGCCATAAGCCTTAAATGCGATTTAAGGGGACACTAAAACCAAGCAGGTGCGAAAATTTAAATATCTGGGAAGTGTTCTGACACAGGACGGTAAGTGCGAGGCTGAGATCCAAAGACGTATTGGGATGGTCAAAGACGCATCCCAAAAGCTAGGCAGTGTATTACGAGACAGGAGGGTTTCATTGGTAACAAAGAAAAGAGTACTGAGCTGCTACGTGGCATCTGTTCTCCTTTACGGCAAAGAATGTTGGATGGTCTCCTTAAAGATGAAGACGAGACTCGAAGCAACATAGGTATGGTGCTACAGAAGGATGCTAAGGATATCATGGCCAAAGAGGCATTCCAAAAGCTAGGCAGTGTATTACGAGAAAGGAGGGTTTCATTGGTAACAAAGAAAAGAGTACTGAGCTGCTACGTGGCATCTGTCCTCCTTTACGGCAGCGGATGTTGGATGGTCTCCTCAAAGATGAAGAAGAGACTCGAAGCAACAGAGGTATGGCGCTACAGAAGGATGCTAAGGATATCATGGCCAAGGACGCATTACAAAAGCTAGGCAGTGTATTACGAGACAGAAGGATCGTTGGTAACAAAGCAAAGGGTACTGAGCTGCTACGTGGCATGTGTCCTCCTTTACGGCAACAAATGGTGGAAAGTCTCCTCAAAGATAAAGAGACACGATCTTAACATTACATACGCAGATGACACGCAGATGACACGGGACTGATAGAAGACAGGAAAAAGAAATTACAAAACCTCCTAGAGAAGGTTTCGAAGGAGAGCGAGAAGAAAGGACTAAGCATGAACTACAAGAAGACATCATGAATGGTCATCAGTAAAACGATAAGCCCTAAATGCGATTTAAAAGCAGGAGACACTAAAATCAAGCAGGTGCAGAAATTTAAATATCTGGGAAAGTGTTCTGACAGAGGACGGTAAGTGCGAGACTGAGATCCAAAGACGTATTGGGATGGTCAAAGACGCATCCCAAAAGCTAGGCAGAGTATTACGAGGCAGGAGGATTTCGTTGGTAATAAACAAAAAAGAGTTCTGATCTGCTACGTGGTATCTGTCCTCCTTTACGGCAGCGAATGTTAGACGGTCTCCTCAAAGATGAAGAAGAGACTCGATCTTAACAGCCACAAATGACACGGTGCCGATAACAGACACGGAAAGAAATTACATAACCTCCCACAGAAGGTCGCGAAGGAGAGCGAGAAGAAGGGACTAAGCATAAACTACAAGACAGAAGGCATGGTCATCAGCAAAACGATGAGCCCTAAATGCGATTTAAAAGCCGGGGACACTAAAACCAAGCAGCTGCGGAAATTTAAATATCTGGGAATTGTTCTAACAGAAGACGGTAAGTGCAAAGCTGAGATCCGAAGACGGATTCCAAAAGCTAGGCAGAGTATTACAAGACAGGAGGATTTCGTTGGTAACAAATAAAAGAGTATTGAACTGCTACGTGATGTCTGTCCTCCTTTACGGCAGCAAATAATGGAATGTCTCCTCAAAGGTGAAGAAGAAACTCTAGACAACGGAGGTATGGTTCTACAGAAGGATGCTAAGGATATCATGGACCGAGCGTGTGGGAAACGATGAGGTTTTGGAGAGGATGCAAACAAGGAGAAGCTTATACTTAACATCAGAAAGAGACAGATGAAATTTCTGGGACACACAATGAGGAAGGAAGGTGATGTGGGGCCAAAGTTGGGACCACAGAAGGAGAACACGGATTAGATGTAAGAAAGATATATTAACAGCAGGTTACAGAGATAGTGTAAGCGGAGCTTACTATATGTTAGTGTGCTTCACTGGTAGTCGTACGCGGCTCTCACTGTCTCTCTGACTGTCTGTCTAGAGTGTTGTGTCGCATACTTAATATAGACCTGAAAGAGTTTATTGTGTAGGTAGTTCCGGTCTCACAATAGAAGGCCTAGAGAATCTGATACGCACAGGTCGATTAGAGGGAAATAGAGACAAGAGAAAGCATCGCATGACGTACCTGGCGGGCTTAAGCAAGTGGATGACTGTTTTCTCGAGTAGGTAGCAGACGGACTAAACTTATTGAGAGCTACGAAGCATAAGGTGAAGTGGAGGGCTATAATCGCCTACGTCCTGAAAGAACATGGCACATAAAATAAAAGAAAGACTTTCAAGCCACAGAAGAGTCAGGTACTTAGTGTAGCCGTACAGGGAACCGACTATTTTTTCCTTCGATGGCTCGTAAGTATGAGTTCTACTTGAGGTCAGATATGAGTTTATAGCCGATTAGTCTCTGAAAGCAAACAAGGAGTAGGCTTTTACTTAACATCAGGAAGAGTTAGCTGAAGTTTCTGAGGCACATAATGAGGAAGGAGGGCCTAGAGAATCTTATACTCACATGTCGAATAGAGGGAAAGAGAGACAAGGGAAAGCAACGTGAGCAAGTGGACGAAAAAACCTGTTCTGGAGGAGGTGGCAGAGGGACGAAACTTATTGAGAGCTACGAAGCATAGGGTGAAGTGGAGAGCCATGATCGCCTACGTCCTGAAAGGACACGGCATATAAAAAGAAAAGACATAATTCAAACATTATTCCTTGTGGATACCTCTATTTGAGTAAACGCCCTGTTTCCTCTTAAACTCTATTTACATACCAGCTTGCTTTCGCAAGAAAACTTATTAAAGAAAATGCAACATGATTCGAACATGCACCCCACTTTGCTGGAGGAATAACGGTAATTAACGTCGTGCTTTAACCGCTCGGTCACGAAGACATTCACATTGAATCAAGGTTCTATTTGCCATTGAAGCATACGCATTCGTTCTCGAGTGACATATCTGCTCAGTTCTGTAACTGAAAATTCAACAAAGCAATTTGTTAAGAATGAATCGATTTTGATTTTTAAATTCTAGTGTCTTATCAAGTGATGGTGTTGAATGTAGAATAAAAGGTTTTAAAAGGTACAAATCAATCAAACACCCCTCGCTAGGGGAAACTCTGTTACATAAGCTGGAATGACCAATCAAAATACAAGAATATGAGCATTCAAAAACTTGACAACGAACATTGAATATAATAATTAATTCTTTAATATCGGGGTTAGACTAAAATAGAAATAATTCTAACTGATTAATATTAAATTTCACTATAAAATTGAAAATTCAAAATTACCAATTTTAAATTTAATCTATATTAAGTTTAAAATATTAAAACATAATTAAAAAAAGAATCTGTGGAAAAAATACATATGTTTTGCTATTTACTTTGTTTTAATTGAAAGGCCAAAAATGCAGTTAGAATAAACGTTAAAATCTAATGTTGTGCAAAGCTTCGTTACAACTTAGATGCATTTGAAGTGATGATATAGGCAGGGGAGGGTGCAAAAGACAGGGGAGGTCTTGCAAAAGACAATACATACACAATCAGATTATAATACACAAACACATAGATAATTAGATATATAAACACGCAAAAACACGCCAGATAGATAGATAGATAGACTGGGTAGATAGCTAGATATAAATAGACTGGACAGACAGCTAGATAGATAGATAGATAGATAGATAGACTGGGTAGATAGATATAGATAGATAGCTAGATAGATAGATAGATAGATAATACACAAACACATAGACAATTAGATATATAAACACGCAAAAACACGTCAGATAGATAGATAGATAGATATATAGATAGATAGATAGATAGACTGGGTAGATAGATATAAATAGACTGGATAGATAGATAGATAGATAGATAGATAGATAGATAGATAGATATAAATAGACTGGATAAATAGATAGATACATAGATAGACTGGGTAGATAGATAGATATAAATAGACTGGATAGATAGATAGATAGATACATAAATAGACTGGCCATACAGGTAGATAGATAGAAAGACTGGGTAGATAGATAGATATAAATAGACTAGATAGATAGATAGATAGATAGATAGATAGATAGAAATAGACTGGATAAATAGATAGATATAAATAGACTAGATAGATAGATATGTGTGTGAGAGTGCGAGTGTGTATGTGTGTGTCTGTTTGTACTATTTCAGTACCCTTGTATTTGGGACATTAGAGGTACCCCATTAGCACAATTCTAATTCTATTTCTCACCCAGACAAAATTTATAATCAAGACTTGCTGGCATTTCAAAAGCAAGTTTTAGCGTCTCCCGTCTAATTTACCCGCCATTAGCGTTAGTCTCGTTTGCTTCCATCATTAGCCCAACGTGCGATTGTCATGTTCTTGTTTTTGTCCGAAATCTTTTCATGTCGTTAAGTGCAGTCAAATTTTGCAGACTTTTTTTCTTTTAGCAAAGAATATGCATTTTAACTGTGTTTTTTTTCTGTATTATTCCATTCCTAGTAATTGTTTTTCCTAAGGCTTTCTGCTGTTTTGTTCGGTCTTAGTTGATTTCTTTTGATTTGTCTGTAGATTCAGCGTCGAATGGTAGCGATTGAAGTCCTGGATGAAGAAATAATTACTATTTCGATATTTGCTAAAACAACTGGTAATTCCATTACATCTATCTATCTATCTATCTATCTATCTATCTATCTATCTCCGTCTCTTCGTTATCTATCTATCTATCTATCTATCTATCTGACTGTGTATCGTATTCTCTTCATATCTGTCTACCTACCTATATCAGTTTGCTCATAGTTAGCTAGCTATATATATATATATATATATATATATATATATATCTATATATATATATATATATATATATATATATATATATTCCTATCATTCTGTCTATCATCTATCTATTTTATTTTTCATATCTATCTACCTTATTTTTTGGTATGTATGTATCTTCATATCTGTCTGTGTATCCTTTATTGTCTTCAACTATAAACATATCTGTTCGTATCGATCTTATTGTCTAAGTCCATATGTATATTGCAGTTCTGTACATTATCTATCTATCTATCTATCTATCTATCTATCTATCTTCTTCCGTCTTTTGTTATCTATCTATCATCTATCTTATTCTTTTTATATCTCTACCTATCTATATCAGTTTTTGGTATGTATGTATCTATATAATTATCTATATCTTCTATCTATCTCCGTCTCTTTGTTATCTATCTATCTATCTATCTATCTGTCTATCTATCTATCTATATCTCTATCTATCTATCCGTAAACATATATCTATCTATCTCAGCCTGGTCTGTTCTTCGTTATCTATCGATCTATCTATTGGCCCGACTGTGTGTATTCTAAGTCTGTTCATATCGATATATTGCATTCTGTTCATGTTCTATTATTCATCTATCTATCTATCTATCTATCTTATTTATTCTTTTCATATCTATCTTATTCTCCATATGTATCTATCTATCTCCTATGTTTATCATCGTTATCTATGTATGTATCATATGCATCTATCTATCATATTTTCTATTGGTCTATCTGTTCATATCGATATCTATCTGTTCATCTATCTATCTATCTATCTATCTATCTATCTCCGTCTCTCCGTCTCTTTGTTATCTATCTATCTATCTATCTATCTTATTCTTTATATCTCTCGCTATCTTCCTTCTATCTATCTCTATCTATCTATCTATATCTATCTCCGTTTCTCCGTCTCTTCATTATCTCTATCTATCTATCTATCTATCTATCTCAGCCGGGTTATTATCTATCTATCTAGCTAGCTATTATCGTTATCTATCTATCTATCTATCTATCTATCTCTATCTATCTCTATCTATCTCCGTCTCTATCTCAGCCTTATTATCTATCTATCTATCTATCTATATCTATCTATCTCCGTCTCTCCGTCTCTTCGTTATCTATCTATCTATCATCTATCTATCTATCATGTATCGTATTCTCTTCAAATCTGTTTACCCTATATTTTGCCATAGTTACGCTATTCAATATATATATATAAATATATATCCATTCTGATTATTAAAGATCTATCTGACCTATCTTATCAGTTTTTGGTATGTATGTATATATATAATTTTCTTCATTTTATCCATCTTATTTTTATATCTCTGTCATTTGTCTGTTCGAAGCTATCGATCTAATTGGCCTGTGTGTCTAAGTCTGTTCAAATATATTGAATAAATCATTGTCCAAATCTATCTTATTCTTTTCATATCTATCGCTCCAGCGTGTATCAGTTCGTTAGTTGTATGTACTATAAACCATTTTTCTATCTATCTATCTATCTATTTTTATCTATTTTCCGTCTTCTATCTATCTATTCTGTCTATCTATCGTCTATCTATCTTTTCTCCGTCTCTTCCTTATATCTATGTCTATCTATCTAGCTATCCCCGCCTATTCGTTATCTATCTATCTATTTCTATCTTTTATCTCCGTCTCTTCGTTATCTATCTATCTATCTATCTCCGTCTCTCCGTCTCTTCGTTATCTATCTATCTATCTATCTATCTATCTATTGTAGCAAACTACCCTAATTCCATACGTATTCAATTGGTGAGAAAAAATTAAAGATAAAATTCAAGATTTTATCCAATTTTTCATTTGTTCTTAGGGTCCTCACCATTGTCCAAATATGATGTATATCTGAGCGCTGAACTGTTCCTAATATGTGTGTCTATCTTTTCTTTTCCAAACAATGACTTCAACAAGGCAAATCTGAGTATATATAGACAAAAGTAAAATTCAAGATTTTACAATGTTAGTGTCATGGGTCCTTACCTATAACTACAGAATGAACTCTTCCTAACACTATCTTTACTACGCCTCTCAAGAGAGAGGGACAGATCCAGTGGAGCTTCTCGGCTTGACGGTCGAACTCTCTGCCTCTGAGCAGAGCGAAACCCGGACGAGGCTCCGCCGAAGGGCAGAGTCTCGTTCGGGGTGGTTGATCAACCCGATCCCGTTTATACGGGTCCTACGGGCATTTTTTGGCCGAGCCTACGGGCACGGGAAACCCACGTTAAACTCGGCCTTGTGCCACATGCAACACTCGTGGGCGGGTGGCTAGATTCCGAATCGAGCCGAGCTTCTCGGCTTGACGGTCGAACTCTCTGCCTCTGAGCAGAGAGGAACCCGGACGAGGCTCCGCCGAAGGGCAGAGTCTCGTTTGGTGAGGTTGACCAACCCGATCCCGTTTATACGGGTTCTACGGGCATTTTTGGTCGAGCCTACGGGCTCGGGAAACCCACGTTAAACTCGGCCTTGTGCCACATGCAACCCTCGTGGGGGGTGGCTAGATACCGAATCAAGTCGAGCCGTTTCGGCTTGACGGTCGAACTCTCCTGAACTTAGCCTGACAAAACCCAACCCTATCAAATTGGATTCCTCTTCGAAACAGGTTGCCAACCAACGCTATATGACCCAGTCTACCCTGCTATTTTATCCATAGCCTTGAGGTAGATAGAAGAGATGTATCCGTACCTTCCCCAAGGGTATTAGCTCGTAATGGAATATAATGACTCGACTGGAATTCGAATTGGAAATTTCAAAGTGTTGCAATGATTAACAAGCTTATGCTCGCATATTGATACATTAAACCAGATAAAACCAAACATATAATACTACCTAACTCCTTAAAATCTACTATCCAAAACAATTTATCCAATCTTAAGAATATCAAAATAATTACAAGCACATCCAAAACTATTATGGATATGACCAGAAGCAAAAATGCCCACGATAATAATAATTCTGTATCAGCTAAAAATAAAATAACCTGCTAGAAATGCTATTCAGAATATATTGGTGAAACTTGCAGAAATAAAAAAGTACATATCTATGAATCAAAATAAGATCATATACATAACAATTTATCAACTGCATTAGCTATACATAGATATAAATTCAGCCACGACTTTGATCTAAAGAATCCAACACTTATTAAAAGAGAAAGTAAATTAGACGGAAAATTCTAGAAAGTGCTGCTATCAAAACTTAATATAAATAATATATAATATAATTTATATAAAAATATAAATCTGCGGCCCAGATTTTTTCAAATATCTCCATTCCTGAAAGAAATACTTCTCTCACAAGCCAATATATATATGTATATAAAAATGCTAAAAAAATAAATGAATTGGGAGGTTGATCAACTAGTTAAAATGCAGAAACATACAGAACAGATATTGAAACTAAGGATCTGTGTGCTGGTGCATTGTCCCGATACAGCAAGACCCCTTTCGTCATCTTTTTCTGGTCGTGATGGGCTTTCGTCTCTGCCTCAGCAAGGTGGCTAGTAACAGCCATTGATTTCGCGGCCTTTTTGAAGAGAAATAAGACAAGAAGTCAGTAAACACATTGCGTTTTGCATCCCAGAATTTTGAGACCATCACCTTCCCTGCAGATGTAACGATCTTGGATTATTTTGGAGCAAGTGAGGAGGGATGTTTCCATTGCATTGGTTGCTTCTTGCTCAAAGTAATGAAACCAAAACTCACCCTGTGCTAAGAAATGTTCAAGGATCTGCCTCAAACAATTTCAGTTATTCCCGTGATATGCTTAGGCTGGTGATTACGTGTTAGAAGCCGTGGCAACCAGCAAAAATAAGCCTTCGTTATGCCAAGTTCATTATGCTGAATATTATGATAACTTTCACGGATTATGCTAACATTCGCTACTTGTTTACTAGTCAATCGCCTGTCTCCATGTGGCGAACACAATCAATAATTTCTTTAATGGTGGCAGTTGGAGGACGTCGATAATATAGGTCATCTTCAAGATCCTAAATTCGCCTCCTAAATTTAGCTACACATTTTGTACGGTTGATAAAGCAGGGACCTCGTTCCCTAATGTAGTAATCATGTCAGCCGCGCCCTTTTTCTGAAGGTAGTCGGTAACCTTATGATACCAAATTCTGTTCATTTTTAAGAGAATTAGCTTCTTGTTAGTTTTGAAGGCTTCTTTGAATAGTCAGATATCAGGTCACGTGGAAGGAAACAATGCAGTTATTCATAAGAAGAGATTTTTTTTCACCCCAACTACCCTAGTACGCAGAAGATTACAGGGACTGAAAATGAAAATGAAAGTGAAAGTGAAAGAGAAGACTGGGAATAGGAAGGATTGAAGAAATGATAAAAATGAACAGGGTCCAAAAAGATAGCAGATGGCGATTGACGTTGCATTTAAATTTTTGACTGTAATTATCAGAGAAGCAAGAAATAGGAAAGGAGTTCCACATCTGTGGGAGCGCGAGAAACGAATCTGTTAGAGTTGAAGTGTCTGTTATATTTAGCTATTTAAGACCTAGATACCAATCTAATATCACGCTGAAATTCATGTTGTAGAAACGGCAGTAGGAAGCTACGTTACGGTAATGAGAACGTGACTGAAGCCGAGCTGCCAGGTAAAGACGACTTACATTGCAGATTCGTCGTTGTATTCTATGACGAATCACTAAATACATAGCAAAAGCATCAGTGCAGATATGACAGCAATATTCATGTTCTAGCCAAAATTACTTAGAAAGATGGAAATATATTTTCAAATATGAACATGAAATAACCCCGATAAAAAAATACAATCAGTAAAATTGAAAAAAATAAAACTGATTAAGAAGGAACACTCTTTGGTATTTAAAAATACCTATATAAATGAATGATTGCTACCAAAATATATCCAATACTAATTAGACTCATAAACATGTATATATATATATATATATATATATATATATATATATATAAATTTCCAAGAGGATAGGCTCCAGGTAAAGTTCAATGTCCAGGACAGAGTAAGAATATAATAAAAAAGGCTCAAACACTAATTTTCCATGGTTATGATTTATATTACATTGGAATCGTAATCACGATCCACATCATCAGACCACCAAATTCAAAAAGAAATCGGAAAATATAACTCCGGGTATAAAAAATAAAATTTTAGTGTGAGTGTGGGGGGGAGTGGGAAACAAGTGTGAGAGGGAAATTTATCAGAGTTCTAGAGGGGGGTAACAGAAGAAAGAAGAACAGGAAGGCTTAAAGATAAAGGTCAGGGTTAAAATTTAACAGAGAGAAGTATATATATATATATATATATATATATATATATATATATATAATAATAATAATGGACTCTCCCGTCGGTTTTGACTTATGAGGATCTGACAGCTTATTGATTCAGTTATGAAAGTTTGTGCGATAATCTTAAGTGGCATTTAAGACCCGCTAGTGATTTACAAAGGAGGCCAAATATGGAGCAAGTGTGAGGATTATGAGATGAGATCACTGTTAGATTGGCTGACTTTTAGATCTTGCTCTCGCTTCTTGAAGATGATTCAGACAAGCAGATTGAAAAATGCTGAGTCCACTACAACACGTCGATCTCCATTCTACCCCCTCCAAAGCTAAGCGCTCAAGGGTGTTATGTGGTATATTGACTGTTGACAATATACTACACACACACACACACACACATATATATATATATATATATATATATATATATATGTGTGTAGCAGTAAACTTATATTTTAAATAGAAAATCCCCCCAATTTTTTTAAAATTTAAATCACTAACATCAAATTAAATTCTTTGTAGACAATTTAGACATTCAAATTTATACCAAACATTATAATCTTTATGAACCCCCAAAATAACACTTTCAATGTAAAACAAAATGACAGCGTCTTTTTCTAGCCTGTCTTTTTTTCGAAATAAAATTAGTGACACCTTCTCTCATGACTTCCTTCTCTCTTTTTTTATGTTTTTTTTTTTCACCTCTACCCCTTCGATATCAATATATAACCGTTTAAATGTGTCAATGTCTGGGCCTCTTCAAGTAATTTTAAGTATAAAAGAATAGAAATTTTAAATTACATCTAACTCACTCATGTCTACTCTCTCTCCCCCACCCACTTCCCCACTTCGTTAATTTACATATGTTTAATATGGCCCGTCAAAAATGTGTAAATTTGTTTTCATTTTTTGTTTGGAAGTAAAGTCTGATGATCCGCAGCCCTTTAAAAGGGCTGTGGTGAAATAATTTATTACATGGAACCTTAAAGTGGTCTGTTTTTATTTAAATTATTTGCTCTGGATTTACATTGAGCTTTCTGGAGTTTATCCTCCTTGGGTTTACCTATACGGATTACCTAGTTTTTCATAAACTATATATATATATATATATATATATATATGTGTTTGTGTGTGTGTGTGTGTGTAGCAACCTTTCTTTTAAACATTTTTCGTTAAATATGATGGACAAAATGTCCATACCGGCAATTGGCCCAAGCGCTTTCGGCCACTTCCTTAACGATTATCAAGGAGGCGGGGTATTAGTTTATCTTCCTGTTTTGGCTGTATGAGAGGTAACATTTGTGTTGTTCCCTACTCGAAAAAAAAACACAACAAATACATCTCCAGCAGTCAAAACATGAAGAGAAACTAGCAACAAGAAACTAACTGCAAGAAACCGGAAGAGAGTTCCACAGGCGAGAAGTGCAATCGAAGGAACTGTTAGCATAGAACTTACGGTTGCATCTAGCCATTGCAACTTTAAAATAATAAAACCTTTCCAACAATCTTGCACTGCGATTAAATTCATAAAATCTAGATATCATAGATGAAAGTTCATACGAACAATTACCAT